ATCGTAAAAAAGCGGTCACCCAGCGCGCTTTGTGTCTTTAAATTTATTGAACTCTACAACATCCTCCGAGCTGATAGCTTAGGTCACGTCTAACTCACATCGGAATTGGAACTTAGCGCGTTAGGTTTTGTGGAGGGACTAAAAACCCTGGAATCAAGGGAGATCTCACGTCTGCTCATATGTGATGCCGAGTCCAAGTCTCGAATCTGACACCCCAGAGGTGATTTAGCATGTTGGGTTTTAACGGAGAAAAACATTCATTCTAATTGATACCTGCTTATCCAATATTTCTTTTTGCAAAGACAAGTGCGTTATGGATGGGAAGAAGTACGAAAACGGTGAGAGATGGGTTGATGAAAGATGCACTGCTCGATGCAGTTGCCTTAATGGAGCAGTGGGATGCGTTGACCTCTGTCCACCCGTCTACGTCAAGTGTGGTCCTGGTGAAGTAAAATCAACAAAACAAGTACCTGCCGATAAAGAGGGAAGATGCTTCTGCAGAGTACCTGTTTGTGTAAAGAAAGGTGACGTAGAAATAATTTTTTTGCACATCTTAAATTCCGAACACCTAAAAATGTTACTATATTCGAGGGCCGAAGTAACGCCGATAGATTATTGATTTATCGAATCTTATCTACGAATCAGTTTAAAGAAATTGTACGAAAAAGCATGTTGAAATCTTTTGACATTTCGTAACATTCTCATTCCCAGGCGGTTGGTAGCAGAGGAGGAACCTTATGTTTATACAATGGAATCATTCGGGATTTGAAACCTGATATTGTTTATATGTTCAAGCCTCTCACTTGTTAAAAACAAGCAATTATCAGCTCATGACATTGTTCACGATCTGCTGCAACATGTCTATAAGGCAAAATAGTCTTTACCTAAAAATATGAAAAATCTTACTTTTTGAATAATCTCAATTTTTGAATATAGATCTTCAGTCGAGGAATATAAAATGAAAAAAATTTTTTTTTTCACTTTTTATTCCTATAGTAGAAGACGAGTCAAAGAATGAGAACCCCCCTGCAAGTTTCCAAAGACAATCCATTTCTTTACCAAGTAAGTAACACCGTATGCTTGTTCCCGGACCCTACTTATTAGCCAATAATGAGTAGCGTCTGGTAACGAGAATTGTACCGCCAAGGCTCAAATAACGGGAGACTAGTAACGAACGCAACCCGCGTAGAATTGTGGGAATGATGATTAGTACCAGTAACTGTACCTAGCTTTTGTACGTTAGGAGCCTAGACTTCTTGTTTTAAAAGCAACTCCTTTGTATTTTTCGGTCCATATCCTTAATATATCTATCGTAGAATAGCGGTCACCTAGCGCGCTTTGTATCTTTAAATTCATTGAACCCTGAAATATCCTCCGAGCTGATCATTTAGGTCACGTCTAACTCAGATATCGTATTGGAATTTAGCGTGTTAGGTTTTGTGGAGGGAGGAAAACCCTGGAATCAAAGGAGAAAGATCTCACGTCTGCTCAAATGTGGTGCCGAGTACAAGACTCGAACCTGAGACCCCAGAGGTGATTTGGCATGTTGGGTTTTAACGGAGAAAAACATTCATTCTATTTACCCGCTAATCCAATATTTCTTATTGCAAAGACAAGTGCGTTATGGATGGGAAGACGTACGAAAACGGTGAGAGATGGGTTGATGAAAGATGCACTGCTCGATGCAGTTGTCTTAATGGAGCAGTGGGATGCGTTGATCTCTGTCCACCCGTCTACGTCAAGTGTGGCCCTGGTGAAGTAGAATCGACAAAACAAGTACCTGCTGGTAAAGAGGGAAGATGCTTCTGCAGAGTACCTGTTTGTGTGAAGAAAGGTGACGTAGAGTAAGTTTCTTTAATGATTTTTTCCAGTTGTTTGTAAAATAATGAAAAAAGACTGCTTAAGATGAGATTTCCCATCCTATCCAGTGTGAAGCACCCCAAGGCCGCAAACGCGGGAAACTACGACATAATGATAGACCATGCCACATCCTTTTTACCTACTCACATGGCATGCGAAAGGAAAACTAGAATTAAACAGTATTYTATAGACCCCTCGCAGTACGTCGAAATTCAGTTCAATTTGGATGACATAACTATAGGTTTCCAACTCTTAGGAGATTGAAATTACTATTTTTTTGTCCTCTAAATATTGAGCTGCATTGACGTCACATGGAAGAGKTCTATTCTCGGTGTTCGCACTGTGCTCATGCTTGGAGAGGTAAGCCTGTCGGAGCTAACTCACCAAAGAACTTGTTTGTCTTACTGTTTCAGATAAAGAAAAGAAGGTTCAAGAAATATATTAAACRAGAAAGAAAGATTTCAGGTGAAAAAAAGAATATGAATAATAATGTTATACCGTTAATTATGCATTTCAACGATTTATAGCCTTCAGTTTATGTACTGATGGAAAAATGAATGCAGCGGTTTTGATGAAAAATATATTGAATAAAACGATTTAAATGTTGAATTGCCCAACTACGTCAGATACCAGCTGTAACAAACCACGTAAAACAATAAARATTTTGCACTTCATATTTCGCGGGCCAAATTTGTGTTCTGCAGTTTACCTATGGTTAGAACTTCCACTAACGTATAAACCGTATGCGAGGGCAGTCATTACTTGAAGAAAATATTAATTACGTGAAGGATTTGGCGACGCACAGCACATCTATTTACTATGGTTAGCWCAGTGCTCAGAGAGAAAAGCGATTCAAATTGAATGACTTAAATAGCYAAATATCTAACATGTCAGAGGCGCGCCTGTCTTTTTGAAATTAAAAGTTAAAATCTAATAAGTTTATTTTCACAAGACAGAAATTTCACCTGGTGCCTAGCTCTACATATAATTACTTTTAAAACAGCTAGACTGAAATATATGTGCAGGCGTGTGCATATCATAAGGATAAAATGGAACCAAGAATGCGCAATAAAAAGGTGTTTACTATTTCGAGGGACGCACCACAAGAAATTTATTGTGAGTTCACATTTTGATAAATGTACTTTAAAACAAAGTTAGCATATCAGTGTTAACGTTGCAGTCTTACAGTCTAAAGAYAGCAATAACTAAATGAATGACTAGGGTGTGYGCAGGATTAGATTGACGAAGGTGTCGAAGCCTTATGTGTCACTTGGTACGAAGTGATAGGTGAAMGTTTAGCGGTACGGGACCGGTTTCTGTGGTCCCCTGCTATGTGGACATGTTTTGTATAGTGGTAGAGGAAAGGGTTGCATGATACAAGGGCAGGATGATAGTAAGGTAGTGAAGAGTGACCCCACCCCCAAACGGAAATCCTGGATAAAATCCCGACTGCTTTACCTTAGTTAACTATTTATCAGGCTCTATCAGTAAACCTAGAAAGACGATACYGATCCAATCAAGCCAGTAAATACAAAAAGGATAGAGGCAAAGGTAGGAGACGACCCTGATTTAGGTTTTGGAGTACTAATACCACTACCCGTTCTGATGCATCCTTCACATTCTTCTACATTGCAARACTTGGCATCGCATCTCATGGCACAGGATCCTCCAGCGCACTTCATGGTGCATGTCTGGAACAAATAAGACATGGTTAGTCCTGGACTAATATAATCATTGAAACCCTTTCCCTGTCCAAGAAACCTGGGGATTTGGATTGAAAATGAGAAACTCGGGTATGTAGGCCAAAAACCCTTTCCAGGTAAAAAAACCCTTTCAAGTGCCACAATAAGTCCTGGGGAATATATGGATTAAACATGAGAAACCCTGGTATGTAGGCCAAAGACACTTTCCAGGTAAAAAACCCTTTAAAGTGCCACAATAAGTCCTGTGGAATATATGGATTAAACATGAGAAACTCTGGTATGTAGGCCAAAGACCCTTTCCAGGTAAAAAACCCTTTCAAGTGCCACAATAAGCCCTGGGGAATATATAGATTAAAAGACGAGAAACTCGAGTACGTATGGCAAAAGGTAACTAAAAATCCAAGGACTGTGGACAATTCAAACAAAACGTCAACAACAAAAACATTAGCGAAGCGGTAACATTTCGAAGAATCTTTTAAAAATRAGCCATCCCAAGGGGTACAAAGTGAGGARGAAACCATGGAAGGGGSTTGTAACCTTACCTGGACACTTGCATCACAGCTCATCTTCTTACAGTTTCCACCCTCGCACGTCAAGGTACATGTGTTTGCAGAACACGACATCTCAGTGCAGTTCCCTCCTGTGCAAAGCTGTGAGCAACTTGTACCATTGCAGCTCATCTTGGAACAACTTCCRTGCACGCAGGTGCTTTTACAGGCCTTGGATTTGCAGTCRATGTTGCAAGAGCCCTTAGCATGGGAACATACCTGGTCACAGCTCTCTGTTTCAGGATTTGCACAGCTGAGGTCACACCCACTTCCACTGCATGTTGTGTCACARTCACGAGACACACACTCGGCTCTGCAGCTGCCTTTGCAGTTTTGTACGCAGCTCTCGGATTGGCGATTAGCACAGGACAAATTGCAGTCTTCGCCATTGCAAGTTTGCTTGCATCTTTCTGAAGAACATGTAATGCTCGAGCAGCCCTTCTGGCAGGTTTGAGTGCAGTTTTGCCCATTGCAAGTCATCTTGGGGCAATTGCCGTGGCTACATGCACTCTCGCAGGACTTKGAAGAACACTCGAATGAACAACCACCTTTGTTGCATCCTTGCAARCATTCACYTGTCTGGCTGTTCGTGCATCGTAGTTTGCAACCRCCACCTTGGCAATTCTGATTGCATGTTCCAGTGGACMGGCAATGRATATCTGAGCATGGACTGAGGGAGCATGTCTGATCGGCATCGACTCCAYTTGCAGAAAGCTTGCAGCCTCCCTTTTCACACTGCTGGTTGCATTTCTTCGAGTTRCATTCAAYCATACTGCAATTAACACTRCAGGATTGCTCACACGATTCTGAGCTCACGCAATCYAGYGTATTACATCCACCAGACCAACACCTCTGATTGCAATCCTTTGCATTGGAACATCTCAGCAAAGGGCAGGGTACTTTACTCATCTGCAAACATAACTGATCACAGACATCGTGTGGGTTCCCAGCGTTTCCACAAGTGAACGAGCAGTTTCCATTTATACAGATTTGTGCAGTCGTGTTACCAATGACCTGCTCGCACTGATCGACAGCACTCACTCCATCAAGAATGAAAATGGAAGACAAGACTGCTCCAAGTACGACCAGCATCATCTCGGAACACGCGAAACAAACAAAAAGTATAGTACAATCTTTTTTGGGAAAGAAAAGATCTCGTTCTCCGCTAATTCTTCTCTTGGACTACGAGGAGCTGTAACTGGAAAGACAGATGTAGGTTACTAGTTTTTCTCGGTGAAAAGCCTTCGAAGCTTTCCGAGAATGTAATCAAATATTCATCGTGTTATTTCTCGGAAACGCTTGTCCTTCATATGGTCGAGACGAGCTGGGAACGACTAGTCTGTAAATAGACTACTTTSGCTGTATTAAATTTCTGGTACGGTATTGACTCTTCAAGGAATACAACTATCAAAACCTCACACATCTTAAAGAAATAAGTAGATATATAGTGATATACTTCGCAACTTCGTTGAGTAGTTAATATCATTTGTCCCAAAATTGGAAATAGGTAGAAACGTCATATACAGGGTGAATGAAAAAGGTGAATGTGGTTGTTAAGCACATTTCCGTTAAATACATAAAGTACCATGCTCCTCGAAATAAAGTTAAAATTGTTAGAATGCTTATCTCGGTTTAGAAAGTTCGTTTTCAAAGGAAGCTTTACAAATCTGCCAGCATATAAAAGCTTTATCAACATATATCCACCAAACGTTTGGATCCAATTGTTTTTATCCAATATTTTTGGCGTAACAAATGGACTTTAGCACAAACAATGCAATAAATGTAAAATATCTCTTACGCGATCATCTGTGGTTTGAATACATAGTAAATAGATATTACTAGAATTGAAGTATTTTAAATTAACAATTTGAAAGCCAGAATCGTCTGAATTTGCGTAACTCTTTTTTCATGAGCTTGTTGTAACCTCTCCCGCCAAAAAAGACGCCTAAATAAAACGTTGTATTAATTACTAAATTCCCCGTGTTAAAACATCCGAAACATAAACACAAGAAATGCTGGACTCGCGAGATACCCTAATTCGAACATAGCTAGTGTATGAATTACAGTTATATCAGTTCTAGATCACTGCAGCTGTGACCCGCTATCCACAATAATTTCAAAAAATTCTACGAGTGGGTTCAGATTTAAAAAAAAAACAACAACAAATTACTGAGAAAAAAACATTCTCGCTCGGCTCATCAAGCGTCAAGTGTAATGATCAGTATTCATATATCGAACAAGACGGATAACTCGGTAGGACCACAAAAAAATGMGCCGTCTCGGATTCTATTTACAACCGCTTAGGTCTAGGTATACATTCTGTATAATTTCCTTTTGAAAACATTAACTTCTGTAGAACTAAAATAACTTCACTTATAACGCTAGGGTATCATTAATATGTAATTTGATTGTAAATACGTTTTCCACTACCCTTCTCTAGTAAAATTTTTTATTATTTTTTAAAGAGTTTGGAATATCTTGCCTTGCAATATTTTGGTTTCATTTTTCAGACTTATCTCAATTATTCAAATTTAGCAGTATACTGTAGACCTATTAAAGCTATCAAACATCAAGACTCGATCGTGTTTTGGATGTTAAGAGGGGAAAATGAATGTTTTGGAATCTGAGGTCTCGAAGGAACCGAGTGATTTTAGATATAAGATAGATTATTAGTTTTAAACTTACCTTGAATCGACGCTGGCAAGGATTTCTAAGAACACACTACAAAGCAATCAAAGTCCTACTCATACAAAGAGTAAACATTATTTTAACGTAATGCATGATTGGCTGTTTTTTAATTAACGGTGATCCCTGCCCCCTCCCCTGGGGGTAGTCTTGCTCCGATTTCCTCAGAAACTCAAAAGGAGTCGTATTTGTGCCAACAAAGGCAGTGACAACAGTTTGTTATTCAAAGTGAAATACCCTGTGTAAAAATAAATATTGTCAATAAAACATATTATGGAGATTGTTACCTATTTGATCGTAGTGATCATATGGAAAACGCACCTAAATCGATCAATAGTTGGGACTGGTGTTGGCGTATTGAATACAACAAGTGAATAAGAAGGAAACTTACTAGTAAACACTATGTACTGAAGGTTTGCAACTACACTGATGTTTCGGAAATTAGTCACTTGTAAGGGCGGATCCAGCCAAAATTTTTTGGGGGGGGCTAATTAAGTTGGGGGTGGGGGGCCTAATTGAGTTTCTTCCGTCGACACAATGGAAAACAATAAAAAAAAGCATCTCATTCTTCAGTTTTATTTTATTCTATTTTTTGGCTGAGGGGGGGGGGGGGCTTCAACCCCCCATTGCCCCCTCCCCCCTGGATCCACCCTTGACTTGTCTTAGTAAAAGTGGAATAGTCCCCTTCACGGTTCCCTGCACCATCCTGAAAGGTAGCCGTGCCTTTGTATTGAAGTGAGACAAACGGTGAGCTTGCAACGATAGAGACTTTTTTAAACCCCTTGGACATACATTCACATGTCTCTATTATTGCAAGCTCACCGTTCATCTCGCTTCGATGCAAATGCACAGCTACCTTTCAAGATGGCACAGGGAACTGTGATGGGGACTTTTGTCAATTAGGGCTTGGGATGAGGCTTGGGATGATGCTTGGGATGCCTGAGCACATGTCGTCAAGATAATAGTTATATATAGTAATATATAAATTATATATAACAATAAAGATATTATAATTGTTTGATTTTGCTACTGTAAATGGCAAAAAAGGATGAAGTAAAATGTATTGTYTAGACAAACAAATTTTTACTCTGATAAATTTTGATGGCAAGATACTATGTACATATGGTTACATGGAAAACTCCCTCACCACTGGACTGCATTTTATTAGTACATTACAAGTTAATTAAAAAAGAACAGAAAAGTTCAAAAATGAAAAACAGCGAACAACAGAATCAGAGCAAAAGAGAGAAAGACCAGTAAGCCAGCAAGCCAGCAAGGAGGTAAGGAAGGAAGGAAAAGTGAAAGAAAGAAAGTGAGAGCAATAGAGCAAGAATCAAGAGTCTACAAAGAAAAGGAGAAGAAAAAGAGAGTGAAAGGAAGAAAGAGAAAGAAAAAAAAAAAGGAAAAATACCAAAGCCTTTTTCAAATAATTATTACCCTTGGAAACATATTAATATCCCAATACCATCCATTTTCCTATCACATCAAGACTAACTAAAAGTACCACATATGATGCACAGTCTAGACATTCCAGGGGTGACAATGAGCAAGAAAATACTGATAGGACCTTAGAAGAAATCTGCCATTCCCTCCTCAAGGAATCTCTTGTAGATACTCATAAATTTTGCAACAAAGGCCTCAAGGTGATATATTTCTTTGCTACCGAGAAGAATCCTGTGTTCGTAGTAAGCAGCCATGTTAGTGACTTCTGCCTTGAGAGTGCCATCACAGTTTGTTACAAGCTCTGATATCAACCCCTAAAAAGAAAAAGAAAAAGAAAAACAGATTTAGTACCGGTATGTATTTTTTCTTGGACTCCAGTTATCAACAAAAGACTTGGCRTTATACATTTTTAAATTTGTGGCTATAATTATTCTGTTGATGTACAGTTCTTACACAGAAATACTTAAGAGTATATTGAATTAACAGAATACAGCCACAATATRCATAACAGATCATGGTAAGAAAGTGATAATATCTTTATGGTACCTAGAGTAAAAAAACTTTAAATTTTAACAAACCCTGAAACCTCTGGGCTGATCAAAGTCAGGGCACAGTTTAGTGCTCACAGATCAAATCCTTAAACAACCTCTGGGATGATCAAAGTCAGGGCACAGTTCAGTGCTCACAGATCAAACCCTTAAACAACCTCTGGGATGATCTAAGTCAGGGCTGATCTAAGTCAGGACACAGTTCACTCACAGATAAAACCCTTAAACAACCTCTGGGCTGATCTAAGTCAGGGCACAGCTCACTCACAGATCAAACCCTCAAACAACCTCTGGGCTGATCTACATTTAAGTAAGGGCACACAAAGTTCGCTCACCAACCTCTAACCCTGTAAATAAAAATAATATCTAAGTGCCATACCTTCAATATGACATCAGGTGGAATGCAATGGGTGAGAAGTTCATAAAGCCGACCTCTAACCTCGAGGAGTCTGCAACAAAAAGGTCAATACAATCAGTACGTACATTTATCAACAATCACCATATTCRATTTCTTTGTTGATGGAAAGATTGTATATCTATAAGTATGCAATTATTACTATAATATATCTCGGGCAAAACAYATAGTTTGAACAGATTTCATTATAGGAATTCCAGAAATTCTCCCCTTTGGGTCATAAAATTGCAAGSGATAGACCTCTTTAGCTTGGACATGTTTTCACAACTTAGACCACGTGACATTCCCTAGAGTATCCTTTCTTTGTTTAACGGTTGTGCATGACCAGACACATGAATATGGTTACAACTCAAACAAAGAATATTATTCTCAAGAGAATAACACTTGTTCTGGAATGATAAAACATTACGGCCAAGGTAAGGAGGGCTATTACCTAGTGATACTGTAGTAACATCACTCCAGACTACAAATTTACCTCTTAGGACTCTGGACTTCAACAATTTGTTGTGCTGTTTCTCTGAGRTATATTTCCCAGTCTGCTTCTTGTATAGACTGGTCTGCACTAAATGGGTATCTAAGAAATACAAATACTCCAAATTAAAAAAGTTGGGAATATCCCAGTCCTGTCTATGTACCATAGATTTACCAACACACCAGACAAAAGATCTTGGATCATTTCTGTAGATTGGTCATTAAGTATTGGTTGGTTGTTGGTACTGTAGGTTGTAATAGCCATTATGGGAAAGCAAGAATGCTTTTTCTGCTCCTCTAAAAATTTACCTGAAGTTTTTTCCTTCAAAATTTCCCATCAAAATTTTCTGTAACATAGCCTTATTTGCCCCACCCCTCCCCCTCCCCTGGGATGCCCATAATGCCTTGCGATCCAAGATGGCCACTGTATCATCAGAGAAGTCAAATAAGCTATTGTTTACTAGACAAAGGAAGGTGTTCTGTAAAAATGGAATGCTTACTGTTGCACTCTACAAGCTTCGCACATAAGAAGTGCCTTCCTCAGATTCCTTCCAGATTTCTCAGCTATTCGCTTTGCCAACTCTGAGGGAATAACAAGGCCTTCTTTCTTGCACACATGATGGAGTATCTGGCTGATCTGGAAATGGGAAAGGAATTAATAAACCAAGTTGTTAGGGAGTGAAGGGTGGCGTAGCTGTAGCACACTTGCCTCTCACCTCTGGGGTCTCAGGTTGGATTCCTGGACTCAGCTTCACATGCGAAGTAGAGTTTGTTAGGTCTTTGTATTGATTTAAAGGTTTTCTTTTGGTTCACAGATTTTCCACCTCCACAAAACTCAGCACACTAAATTCCAATTTGATCTGTGAGTTACTGTAGGCTTTCCCTGAGTTTGATCACACTGTTTCAAAGTTTTTTGAAGATKTATTTACTGAAAACAGTCTGAAGTTAATTAACCCTTAACAGCATACTCCAAATGCCACTCAAMTTTGAAGGAATCCCTTGGAAGACAACATAAACTGAGCATCATTTGGAGCTTATTGGTCGATCAACTACAATGTAACAATAGTGATGCTGTCATACCTCATCTATTGATGGTGCCGCGACACGTATTCCAAGACATCGACTACGAATAGCAGGGATTACTTTACTKGTAGAGTTACAGCACAAGATCAGCCTACAAGTAGACGTATATTTTTCCATGGTACGACGCAATGCATGCTGTGCATCTTTAGTTAGACGATCAACTTCTGTGAGCACTACAACTGTAAAACAAAGAAAKTGGTTGTATTTATTGGTCAACTGCATCCACTTCAAAAGCCAGGGATTATAAATATGCCAAATTAAATTAGCATACTATAATTAATTTACATTAAAAAATAATATTTGACTCAAAAAAAGTCATTTCAACTCTATGTAGGTTAGGGTGCAGAAATTTGATTGTCTGCTATCCAATATTCTTGAAACTGTTCAATAATCCCAGTCTGGGTTTCTAATAAAATTCACGTGAAAGCTACTGAAATAAGGAATAATTTGTTACTGTCAACCAACAAGGCAGTTTTGGTGTAACATGCACCCCAAGAATTGCTGTTTTGTTGTATTTTGTGAATGATAGCCCCCATCTTGATTATCAGCACTTCTGGTCAGCAGTTGCCCACCAAGTAACTATGTGCAAAAACATTAGCAACATCCTTCACCTCACATTTCCAAAAATGACTCCAAGATTTCTGGAGAAGGAGGGTTTCTGGATTTATTGGATAAGGGAAACTTGTAATGCCTGTTATAAAACCACACAATGACATCACAACTCTTACCTTTGAATTCCTTCTGCACAGAAGATTCTAGCTGGTGTGATTGTGCCATACTTTTGAGAAGTTCTTGTATGACTACTCTGTCGTATATACCAACATCACTAGGATTCAAACAATGAAATCAGGTCTCAATCTCCAGTACCTTAAYATGTACTTCATGTACTATACATGAYAAGCTTATAGACTTCAAYAGCCCAAATTAGCTTYGGTGTAATGTTTTCCCATTTTGAGCCCAGGGTTGTCAATAAAATGYTTGGTAGGTGGTTATGAAATTAAAATAGGCGGTAAACCGGAGCATGCAATCGAGGCATACTTGTCACCAGTTTCCCTCTTCTCACGTATCCAAGATGGCGTTGTAAGTTTCGATTGCRTTACAGTTTTCGTAGTACAGCAACAAATTAAAGATTGGGTTAAAATTTATTTTATTCACACATTTTGCTAGTTTAAAGAACTTTAATCAAGATTTACAATTACATTGGGAAGTGGGTGAGTAGGCGGCTGAGTTACTGAGAGAATTGGGAATYGGCTGAGTAGRTGGCTGAATTAGCAAGAGTAGATGGCGGAATCTGCCAGTTGCCGGCTTCTATTGACAACCCTGTAAACCATGTGTCATCCCCAAAAGTATCATTTCTTCCTCTTACAGTTGCACATGAGAAGAAAGAAGAATATAAATGCCAATCAAATAGAGAATATTATTGTCAATGGAATGACATGTGATCTGAAATTGGAAAACATTACCCCAAAGWTAATTTGGTTAAATATTGATGTAATATATACTATTTGCATTTACTGTTACTGGTTCACCTTGGATTAACTTCAATGTGATAAGCACTTCCAATTGTGGAAATATCAATTTTTTTCTTTGATGGTGTCTACAATGACAAAAAAAAAACAAAAACAAAAACAAAAAAATGATGATACAGTATGTGATGATAACAGCAATAAATAAGATTACAATAAAATCCTGGTAATAAGCTGTAGGCTTATGCTAGCCTGGGTGGCGGCTCTCTGGTAGATTGGGAAGGAGGAAAAAGAGGAGCAGGGAGGGGGAGGAAGGAGAGTCTGCACTTATCCCCTAGGTTTTTGTGTACAACCCAGGGGATGAATGCATGCTCTTCTCTCTCCCCCTCCCCTTTCCCCTTTTCCCTTCTTCCCTACCCCACCCCGCCCCTTTTCCCTCCTTCCCATAATAATTTGTTGAAATGATTTTTTAAAAAGTTCTTACTGTAAAGTTATGCTGTTCAATCTTGAGCTTCTCCACTCCTGAACCATAGAGTTCTCTCAAGATGCACATGATTCTCGTCTTCTTGCCAGCACCAGAGGGACCATAGACCAAGAGATGTGGAAAATCCCCACTATGAACCTGAAATAATAAGTAATTGGTAATTAGGAGCAATTTTAGAATACCTTGCAAATGATATGCAGTTGTCAGAACTCTTTGTAAAYGACGCATACAACAATAGAAGTCATGGTCATTAAGTAATGTACTGGTAATTATGAGCATTTTGATTTTAATAGTAGGATAACCCTTCAGRAGCAAATATGAACTGAAGAAGTGGTATTCTATGACCCCCACCTCCCCTCCCTYATGTAGAATGAATGTTATGGTATATACCATATGATTACTGTAATTATGCATTGTGAATGGAGGCATTAGGAAGCYATTTCAATGTTATGRTGTGTTGTATCTGTACATGAATACTTTAATTATGTGCCGTGATTGAATAAATTTGGAAGCCATATCAATGTTGTGGTGTATGCTGTGTATGTAATTTAGTACTGTAATAATGCATTGTAAATGGATAAACTGGGAAGYCATTTCAATGTTGTGCTGTATACTGTGTACAGGTATGTGATTTAGTACTGTAACAATGCATTATAAATGGATAAATTGGGAAGCCATTTCAGTGTTACAGAATGTTGAGCAACGTTGCATTAATTCTRTACCACTCATACGAAAACTGCTTTAGTGTACAACATTGATGTACAGTACAGTAATCTTACTGTTTCACTTTTTGAATCATTATTTCTTTACATCAAGTTTATAAATGGAGTTTTAGTTCAAAACTAATTAAACAAGGACTATTTTGAATACGCAATGCATTCCCCACATCATTTTCAATCTTAAACAAACCTTCGACGCTATAACTACGAATATAATATAAAAAWATATAACTTGTTTTCCAATATTTCCTGAACTGAAGCTGATATATTGGGATGAAGACGAACGACTCTCCAAAGCACAAAATTTAAAGAGAAAAAACAAACTTACCAACTTTTTTAGATGCTCTGATAGATCTTTMTGATAGTCAAGCTTAGATAGGGACGTAGGTCTGTATTTATCCACCCAGAGACTCATTTTTTAAATGGTTTTCCAGAGCGTATTATTCTACTTYTTCTTTCTTGTTTTTTTGGCGCGAAATTTTTGAACTGAGCCCGCGATACATAAATAAAGATGACCGCAAACCACAGGCCGCCCAATAAGTAAGTTTTTGACGTTTAGGACACTATAGCTTCAAAAGTATCTAGAAGTTTTGTAGAATCTATCAGTAGATATATTTTTCTTCTTTCTTATCGAAACTAGCCAGATATACTGCGCTCTGGTCCATTTGGAAGAGTGTCTTCAAAAGGTGCCTTAATGTAGTATGATACCCAATATCGTATATATATGATGCCCATAAATATTCACTGCTGAGCAAAAATTTTACATTTCTAGAATAAGACATTTTAGAAAGGTTGTGTCTATGTCTAGATACTCGCAGTCCAAGTGATTGAGAGAGACTAGGGAGAGTATCATTCAGGGGAATTTTATTCAGTGGGCTATCAGTCATACCCTACGATAGCATAAAATTAAGCTATAATAAATATATTTATGTGTTTAAATATGACTTAAAAATGAGACAACCTTTACACCTACTGTAGTCGGACCTGACAAAAACATTGCTTGGGCTGCCTGTGCGCACACACCACAGGGAGCCCAAATAAAGTTTTTTTAGAATTCGAAGATGGCGGACGATGGGTTTGTCGTGGCAAAAGAAAAATACGGATCATGCTCTTTRGAAAGATCGTATAAGTTCTCCGCTGAAAATGGAAATTTGCAGAGGACACATCAAGGCAAAGAATCTCTTGGATCGTCCATACTGCTTTTTTTTAAGGTCTTGAGAAGTTATTCATTTTTTCCTCTTAGTTTTTATTCTAAGCTTATTGAAATCCAAATTTACGATCATTCATTATATTTCAGTTGGCTTTTCTACCTCAAGGGTATCCAGAGAGTGTTAGTAAAGATTATCTTCAGTACCAAATATGGGATACACTTCAGGTATTTTAACCTAAAGATACTAACATAATTTGTTGGCTTATTGAAATTTTACTAAATTAAACTTTTGTATAATCTTGAAAGGCATTCTGCTCATCCATAACTGGAACGTTAGCAACACAAGCGATGTTGAAGAGTTATGGGGTTGGTGATGAAAAAGCATCGATTATTGCTGCTACGATGACATGGATACTGCGCAGTAAGTACACTGTAATCAACCCATTTCATTWCCTCTTTACTCCGACGAAGGACTAGCGTCCGAAACGTCAGTTTTTTCATCATTTTACGGTGTTAAATTTACCCTTTTATCATTACCATTTTATGACTTCAGTGGCTGGAAAGAATGACAGAACTTGACTGGTCACATTGGTTAGGTCAACATGATGTGACCTGTTAATGTTACCAGTCAAGAGGACTGGCATAAGAGGAACTTGGCCAGACAAGTGCCAATACTCCWTTTTACAGTTCCATTCAGTGACCATGAATAATAGTTCCAAGCCAAGGTTGGAGTTGCCGCACATGATAAAAAGCATAGTTTGCTATGCGCAGAAACTCCAGCCTCGATTTAGAACTATTATTCGTGATCACTGAATGGAACTGTAAAAAGGAGTGTTTTGCCCATACATTGTCCATTGACCAGCCCTGCTGTCATGTTAACATTGATTTCTTCCTAAAATTTTAGATGGCTCTGGAATGGTAGGCAGTATAGTWTTTGCTTGGATGCAGGGGTGAGTTTATTGTAGACTGTAAGTATCCCTCTATTTTATTTTCTATTTTATTTTCTATTTCTGTTGTTGTTGTTGTTGTTGACTGATTTCTGTGTACCAAATAGCTAGAATTGCTGTGTTTCATGTTACCCCATTTCATGTCCTCGCCAGAATGTTCATCAGCTAAATCAAGCTGGCTGACACCATATTTTTCTTTCATTTTGTAGAAGTGGACTTGATTGCAATGCTAAAAAGTGGAGGTGTGTTATATATCTATCATTTGTTATATATACCTTAATTGGTCCACATGTTCTGATTATAGTTATCTAATGCTCTGACTGGTCAAAAATTATGCCTTATTAGTGAATACAGCACAGTTGCTGACGCCAACCATGTGTGCATATCCAACTTTGCGAAGAAGTTTTATTTGTTAATTACAAAATTGCTGCATTTCTTTGTGTAGTATTTGGCTAATGAAAGAAATATGCTTTAATTTTAGATTATTTGCTGACATCCTCAATGATGTATCCATCTTAGTAGAACTCTTATCTCCCTACTTCAAAGCTTACTTCATCTATCTTGCCTGTTTGTCTAGTATCGCCAAGGTAAATAAAGCTAAAATGAAGCTTATGTCAGTTCATCTCAAAAATCTTAGTAGCATAGAGCAAGAATAATTCCCAAAGCTGGATGGTGGAGGGGGAGGGTTGAAGGTGGATATTGTGACTCCAAATTTTATAACGAAACCTCATGGTTTGATCATGAATCATGAAGAGGACCATAGTAAAAATGGGCATTTCTTTTATCCCACATGAAAAACATTTTAAAATTTCTCAAAGTTTTGTTTTCATGGCTAATACATAGAATGGAAACCTAGCTTATTCACCCCCCACCCCCCTGCCATCCTCCACTTGTCAACTATAGCTCTGAAGGTCCTGGCCAGCAACCTCTTCTCATTATTCACTCAGAATCTTTTATTTTTCAAGTCCATAGTTGGAGTAGCTGGTGGAGCAACAAGAGCAGCATTGACYCAGCACCAGGCAAGAAGAGACAACATGGCTGATGTTGCAGCTAAAGATGGCAGTCAGGTAGGGAAAGGATAAAATCCTGCACACATAAAATGATGGAATTAATACCTGCCAAAGGAATTGTCAAAAATTCACTTAAAAGGGCACCATGTAGTTTTAAGCTACACTGTTTATGCTGGCTTTCTAGGTAATAGCCACATCATGGATCAATCATGCTGTATAATTTTGTCTCTTAGGAAACACTGGTGAATCTTATGGCATTGCTTGCAGGACTTGTGATAACACCTTTGGTATCTGGACATACACAGTGAGTTAGACTAAAGAATCATTGGAGAAAAAAAACGGATGAGTGTGTTTTCTGCAGATATAAAGCATAATGTGGAGATAATTGGCAGAACATGAGAACATGAATGGCATGTAGGAGAGTGAGTGCTCAGTCTCAATACTTCTCGAGTATTCTGCCAAACCCAAGTTATTTATGACTGCACACAACAGAACACAGCAAGCATTTTTTAATTTGTTTTATAATTAAAATACAAATTAGAGTACAGTAGCTGTTATTTTGGATGTGATTGAAGAAATAGAAACCGTGCATGCATGTGTGCTCTCATGAAAGCATGCTTCATGAGCACGAGCTATAATATAATTATATTTATTATATAYATAACTAGAATTCACTCGCTCAAAGACTCACTCGTTCATGTTTTACATAAACAACTCTTGAATATAACCCTGTATGCTGCACTTTCTATGAAGTAGTCTMTAAATTTTTTAATTTCTCATACCATAACAATATATTTCATCAATTATTTTCAGACTGACATGGACGTTGTTCTTCATCTTCACCTTCTTGCACCTGTATTCAAATTTTCGTGCCGTATCTTCTGTTGTCATGGAAACAGTAAACATTACTCRCCTCCGTATACTCATGGAAGAGTTTCTCAAGGGTGGACGAATACTYACTCCTGAAGAAGTTGCCCTTAGAGAACCTGTTATATTTGGTTAGTTCCTTAATTTAATTAAATGCAGTCTTCTTGTGTTACATTATGAATGGTTTATTCAATGAAATTGCTAAAATTAACGTGATTAGGAATATGGTTTTCCCGCAAAATTGCGAAATTGAGGTGTTGCAAAATATGCTGCTTCTAAAATCGCTAGATTAACATGTGAAAATTTCATGTAATGCCAAGTTACATTATTTTTTTTTTTAGGATTTTCAGTTGGGGAATGTCTTACGATAAATCTTGGTACACAATTTCAGTGTGTTGTACAAAAGTAAGTAATTTTCATATTTTTTGATCATTTCATGATATTCTTTTCCCATTAGCCTTGATAGAAATGAGTGAAAAGGGCACATGTTTGTACGCTGAAGCTGTAGCTTGGCCAGGGACTATTGCTTGGTATCAATCAGCTGAATAAATCTCATGAATCTCATTAACAATCTTCAGTGAAGGGCAATAAATTAACACTGCTATTCATGCTTAATCATGCTCTTGTACTCGAGCTCTTACAAATGGCAATTTTTAAAACTTTTTCAGTGCACAAGATTTCAAGCTGGCCTTACCAAACTCACCCGATGCCAAGTACCTAATGAAAATGAACTTGGAGACTACAGCCAAATCTGGTAACTTTTTTGTCATTTTCCAACCCTGAAAAATTTGTTACAAAGATATTCTTGGACTTTGCTATATCCTAGAAAATTCTTGATTTTGTGCATATGAAGTAAAAATTTAAAATCACATGTAGAACCTCTTATAATGAGACTTTGCAAGAGCTATTTAAAATAATTATTATTAACAAAGTAATTATTAATAGGGAAAGTCCATATCGTTCTCCATGAGACTTCAGAAGCTATTGATCATATTCAGAGCTGCTTTCAAGCTGTAGTGCTGGACTTTATTATAAGAACACCTCGTCTGACATTTGAACAGGTGAATGCTATGCACTCTTGTTTAGTYTTTGATAGTACTCCTCTCGTCTCGCCTCCTCTTGTCTTGTCTCCTGTCCTCCTGTCATCTCCATTGGTCTTGTCCTGTTTTGTCTTGTCCTCACTCATCTTGTCTCACCCTCTTGTCTCTTCCTTTTGTCTTGTCATCTCATCTCCTTTCCTCTCCTCTCTTCCCTACTCTCTTCTCCCAATTACTTTCATACAGTTCCTTATTCCTCATAATTCTCCTTTTCTTCCATGTTTTGCTAGCCCTCTTTTGATAACTGGACAAATAATCACATTTATTTATCCCTATAAACAGCAAATGATTGACCCAATGAGACCCATGACTTCTGGTTCATCTGCGCTTGGTGCTCTACACAATTACTGGTGGCAAGGTAAGGGTTATATACTACTCCTATCTGTTTGGGTAGACTGATTRTCCCAAAGATCTACCACTAGATATAGGTGCTGTATAGTTTTCTGACTTATCAAGATGTGTAAGAGTAAGCAATGGATTTTCATATTTCTAAATTCTCTAAATTATCATGAACTTGCAATAGACTGTTTAAGGTTAGAGTAATGTTTTCTCATTTTAGACCACATCATTCTCTTGAGAATAAGATTCTTTGTTTGAGTTGTATCCATATTCATGTGTCTTCTCATGTACAATTATTCAAAGAAAAGATACTAAGAGAATCACAATTAATCCCAGTGTTGTTATAATAACAAGTATCACGACAAAAGTGCATATGTCCTGTATGCTGATGAAGAAAAAGCTTATATCTCTCACATTCCTCATAAGCAGCCCAACTTTTTACAGGTATGGTGACTCAAAAGYTCTAGAATTAGACYATAACAGACTTCTTCAGCTTGGGCGTCATGTTTTCTCATTTTAGACCATATTTCATTCTCTTGAGAATAAGATTCTTTGTTTGACTTTTTTCTTTGTTATCCATTTAGTGCATCTTCTCATGTGCAACTGTTAAACAAAGAAATGATACTCTAGGAAATGATGTGTAGTCTTAAATGGAAAAACATTATTCCCAAGACATAAAAAGATTAATTTATCTCTGTTCACAGAAAGAAGTACTTCCCCTGAATGCTGCTGGGATATGATAGCACAGGCTCACAACTTTACGCTTCAAGCATTCCCAGGATTCATTGCGAACCTGGAGAAGGCAGGATGGGTGTCCACACGAACTCATTTAGGGCCAAATGAGTGGCGTGCCATTTGGAATTCAAAGGGATTCGAAGTCAAAAAACTTATTTAAATTATAGAYGACATCAAAATAAATTAATTCATAAAAGAAATAAGTTGTAAAGATAATACTTATGATGATGGATTCTACTTGCTTGTCTTAACCCTTCTGTGTTTCCAAGACAACCGTTGGAAGCCTTTTAATTGGCCAAGCCATCTACYAATGAGAGATTTCTTCTTCGGCAGCTTGTGTACTCCTCCCCTCTACCAGGAGGGGAGGGGGAAGGAGACAAGTTGGAGAGTGGAAGATGGGGATATCTAGAACCACTTTTATATCTTTTCGTAAACGAAAGCTTAAAGCTATATTTTATGTATGTGCATAAAAAGAACTGAAGTAACGGGTGGAATATTTTCCAGAATATTAAAGATTTGGATTAAAAGTTTTAAAAGAGATSTTGTTGTTCGTTGAAAATGAATTGATAGATCAATGTGAAACAAATTATTTTATAGTTTGATATGGCATGGTATAATATGGTGTGAGTAGGGTATGGTGTGGTGTCGTGTGGTATGGTATCATTGGTGTGGTGTGGTGTGGGTGTGGTGTGGTGTGATGTGGTGTGGTATGGTATGGCATGGTATGATATGGCATGGTATAAAATGGTGTGAGTAGGGTATGGTGTATTGTATTGTTGTGGGTTAGGGCGGAACAATTCAAAAATACCATCCCCAATTATGGTTCTGTTCTTCGTTGATCATTGCCATGGAACCTTAGATCAAATATAGATTAGAAATATTACATCTTAGTGATACTTTGACTCAATATATTTTATGTGAATTGTCATCTTATTGTTACCTTTATGTACTCAAAACCAAAAGTTGAGATCAAAAATACACAAAAAATAAGCTCAAAGGTACGAGGATATGATCAATCCTGTCAATCACTCGTCACTTCTTCATCGACTTTTATCATTGTTTTTGTTGACAAATAAAAAATTCCAAACCGCGTTTATTCAAGACAATTTGAAATTAGTAGATATTAAAATTAAAATAGAAAAAGAAAGYGAGAGACAAATAAATAAAAGAAAGAAGGAAAGAGTTCTCACTCCTAGAGAATTTGAAATAAGAATGTGAATGGAAGTATGAAGGAAATATGAAGAAAGTTGGACGAAAAAGTTCGATAACAAAAAGAGGGGGAAAAACGAAAAATAAATAAACAATCAAAAAGGAATGCAAGAAAGAAGAAAATAGTAATAATAAATAAATGAGCGGGGAAAATATCTGTCATGTGAATAAAGGAATCGAGGTCAAAGTTTAGGAATCAATTTACATGCCGATCTCTCCTGGATTTTTCTTTTCGATTCCATGTTCAGTTGTTCTTTAATCACTCTACCCCTTTCTGTCAACTTATATTATTTTTAATTTTATTACAAATACTCAATCAGCTGGAAATYATTATTTTCAAACATTTAACATAACATAATCTCGAGAAGAATAAATATCTTATTTTTTTGGTCAATGAAAAATTTAATTATCCGAAAACGAATCAATCGTGCCGCGGTCCCTATGTTCATTTCTTACTTTTGTTTATCTAATTTTCTCCAGCTGTTTCGTACTCTCTATAGCTATTTGTACGGCTTATATAACTGATTTAATTGTTATTAAGAATTGATTGATCATCGTTTTCCCCGTTATCTAAATACGTTTTTCGATATATGTTAAGGGGCTTTTGGCATATGACCGTATAAAGAGGCTTGGCCTTTTGTTTAGCCGAGAAAGAAGTCTTGCAAAAGTAAGGCGATGCTTTGCGTTTAGCGCGTGTTCGAGGAAGGAAAATGATTGTGGAGAAAAAGAGACAATGCAGAAAGAAAGTTTAAGCC